TATATATATAACTGAAAAATAATTACTCAAGTAAAGTACACGCATAACCAAAATTTCTACGTAAGAACAGTAAAGTTGTCATGGTCTGTGTTTTTATGCCTTGATTTTTCTAAGTGTTTCAGTGTTCCCCTGTGTGTATCTCTGCCCAGCTGCCCTGCCCACGCTCACCTGTTTCCTCTTGTGTCTCCTCCAGGTGTTCTTCATTTGTCCTCAGTAGTTTGCATTTATATTCTGTGTCTCGTGTTCAGTCTGTGTCCGATCATTAATTGTGCTGTGTCGTCCAGCCTGTTGGTGTCTCATGTTCCTTGAGTCTTTGCCATGTCAAGTTTTTGTGAGTTCTTTGAGCTGCCTTGTCAATGGTTTTTTTGTGTTAATAAATCTTTTTTTTTGTAAAGCCTGAACTCTGCCTGTGCCCTGGGTCAATCCTGCACCAAACCTGACAAAAGYGTAGCTGCCATTCTGCACCTATGTCCCCTCTAGACCACCGCAATCACACCAACAGATTTATAAAGTTGGGTTAAGTGTCTTACCCAGGCTTGCCCAGGGATAYAAMAACAGTATAYGCYCAGGCAGGGATTTGAACCAGTGACGCTCTGGTTGCAGGGAAAACCCCCTGCACCACTGAWATCTATATATTTCTAATTATAGCCCAGAACTGTCAGCTCATTTAGTCTTTACACAGTCACCACATCAAGGACAAGGCTTGGAGCAGTTTTTGATACAGTCTAGTATTAAGTGACTCAAYAAGGAGTTTTAAATCTAAGCTTTAGGGGAAATATTTCACACTGAGCTCTCTGTTCAGAAGTGCCCAGTCCTAGGATCAGCTAAGATACTGAGAAGAACCCTCAAACTCCCAGACTTATGGACCTGAGCTTGAAGTGAACTGGAACCGCCAAAGTGGAACAATAGGGCAAACTTTAAAATTTCATTTTATAWGTTGTAAACATTTCACAGTCATTTCAAAATAAAATCTGTAACCGACAATATGATCAGACAATATRATCTCTATCTTGAAACTGAAAGGATGTTTTTATTCGGCGGCTGTGTTTGAGTGGGTAGGGGCAAGACACTGAACCCACTGCCTCTGATGTGTCCCCTCAGTGTACGAATGTGATCTAAAGCACTGATTAGTCTCTAWAGGATGATCTGTCTGGGTTAGCTTTGTAGAGATGTAGTACAGTGCTGTCTTGATGGGTAAATGAGGACACAGATTGTRGTGTAAAGTGTTCAAGAGTCCTGGTTGGACAGAAACGTGCTATATAAGTACAATCCATTTACCATTTTACCTTTATTTCCAGTAAACTATGGCTCTGCTCAGCTGTTTACCTCCTGTGGAGATTGGAGACTCTGATCTAGAGAACTGGGAGGTGATTGGCTCTGGTGGGTTTGGACAGATTTACAAGGCCCGGCACTGTCAGTGGTGCTGCGATGTGGCAATCAAACTGCTTCATTTCGACAATGGGTAAGTACTTTTTTATTTGAAAWTTTTTCAATCAGAGGAATAAAACAACTCACTAAGAGGACCAACCAACATTCACAGAAACAGCAACGCTTTGCTGCGTGAAATCAACATGATGCGCAAAGGAAGCAGCCCTCACATTATCCACGTCCACGGGGTTTTTAGAGGTCGATCTCCTACCTCTGGACTGTCAGTGCAGGTTGGGCTGGTCATGGAGTTCATGGAGACAGGATCACTGGCCTTTCTGCAGGTAAACTACAGAGATGGTTCATGTATGTCAGTCACCTTTGACTGGTCACCATAGRTTGGTAAAGTCACCTCCAGCAAACAAACATGATATATTAAAGTGCCTGTGACATCAAATTTTTGCAATWAACATGACTGCATTTCTGGAGAAATAGTATYGATAACATAYTGCAAAACAAATTTCACGCCGCTGAGATGAACAATTGTTGAGATATTTGCATGTGAAGAAACAGGAAGTGATGTCAAAGGGGAATGTCTGCATGTRAACAGAGCATTGTTACAACAGCTAACAACACAGACTGTAGAGTAGAATTTGATGTTACTTTAGATTATTTTGWGTCKCTACCAAAGAGAGATGAAGAAGAGTTAAAGTTTAAATAAYATTRTTTTACTAAACAAAGACCAGAGAATTAATTTTATTAATGAGTTCCCCATTGATGTCACTTCCTGTTACACTTTGGCTGATCCAAATTCAAAAGATTTTTGGCTAGTTATGTGAAAAAATGAGTAAAATCATGTGTATTATGCCAATTTTCTTAAGTGTAAAGATGTTTTATTTGGCTTTTTGTATTTAAAGGATAGGCATGTCACAGGAACTTTAAATGTACAAGGTAGGCTGGGATAAAACCATGCCTTTCATTATAAAATAAGGAACATCTTGATCAAAAGTTTTGTGGGGTGAACCACCCTTTCCTAAATTTGACAGCCATATTGATAGAATAACAAAGTTTGATGTTTGTTGTAATTTTTTCTATCTGGGGCAGGATTATGGAAAGACTAGCTTTTAGTAAATAAACCAATGTTCATGCAGAAGTTTTCTTAGTTCAAAACTGCCTTTTCTCCTCCAAGAATCTTGCACAAAAAAGTAAGTAATCTAGGGAGAGAATTAGCTTTGACATAAATAAACAGTGCATTGCCAAGAGAAGTTGTCTATTTGTGAACTTTAGACATATTTTTTAATCTGTTTTTTTCAGCAAACTTTAGAAGACCCTCCACCCTTGCCGCTGGTCTTCAGACTGATCCAYCAGGTGGCTCTGGGTATAAACTTCCTGCACAGTCTCACCCCCGCTGTGTTGCACTTGGACCTGAAGCCCGGCAATGTGCTACTGGACTCCTCGCTCAATGCCAAGGTGAGCCTCGTGCTTTGACCATTTCCACAACTTTTGATGTTTAGAAGTTTTCATTAAAATAAGATGGGGGAGATGGTTTTTCCTCGACAAAACACAGAACAAKTTAGTCAAACTTTGTTCAACCAACACTGTCCAAAAGTAGACCTCAACTCCCCATTGTCTCCCCCAACTCCCTAATCCTTACCCTTTCAGTCTTTGCTGATTAGCTTCTTGGGCTAAAGACCTTTGATGCTAAAAATTAATTGGCAAGCTCCGCTGTTTAACCTGAGTATCCTGGATCTGCAACACATCTCTGAGCTCAACAGTCAGTGATCAAAAACAACAACCTCAGTCTTTTCTCAATAATTAACACCACTCATTAGGCAGTACAGCATATAGGTCGTAGATACAGACTGGTGTTATGACGTCACAGACCAAGTAACACTTCACCTCACTTATTTAATTTTGTTTTGGGGTATTTTAAGACAGAACCTCACAGTGTGGCTGCAGAAAGAAGGAGGTCTCGTCTGGTTTAGGACCCTCAGGGTCTTGTCTCTACCTTATGAGTCAACTGAGGTGATCCAGGYATCTGATCAGGATGCCTTGTTGGTGCCTGCATCATGAGGTTTTCCAGGCACATTCCACTGGGGAGAGAGTGACCCAGAACTCGCTAAAAGGTTAATGTGTAACCAGGGAACACCTCTGGGTTTCCCATAAGCATCTGGAGATCAGGGTGGGCGTATCGATTTAAGTATCGATACTACGATGAATATCGGTATTGTATCGATACTAGCGTGATGAGATAGCTTCTTTTGTTTACACTTAATTTGCACTACTAACTTTATTTTTCAAAAATAAGGTGAAAATTAACGTCCATAGAGAAGAGTGTCCAAATTGTTTGGAGTTAGTCATTACTCCTCTACATCACTGGTTCCCAAAGTTGGGGTTGGGACCCCTTTGTGGGTCACGAAACATCAAGTGAGGATCCCCAGATGATTTCCAGACATCAATTTAAATGCAAAAAACATTGCTAATGGAATATTTTCACCATGAGTACTGCATTTTTAAAAACAATAATCTTGAATTAATATCATAGTTATTAGTTTTTTTTTAATAATGTTTTTATTCTCATGTTCAACAGAGTTATTAGCAAAGTTTGCATACATAAACAAGTAATATCTGGGGTGACGAGTGTCGCAATTGTGGCTTGGAAGCGAAATAGTTGGCAACCACTATTCTACATCATGCTCCTGTGCAATGGAAAATTTTTATTTTTTATTTTTTTGACTTTAGTGACATTTTTCTTATACAAGTGTGTGTAGTATTTGGTAATAGAGGAATGATTTTATTATTTTTATACTCTTGTATTGCTTTATTTTGTTGTTGTTTGTTAATACTGTATAAAACATTTGTACATGCCTAAAATCTTAGTCCTGTGTTTTATCATTATCGACTAACTGAAGGCAAAATTAATACAATATTCAATCAACAAAACAACTAATTGCATTAGCATCGGAATCAGCAATACTAGCCCTGCATTTAGTTGGTGTTGGATTGATACTATAATTCTTAGTATGACCCACCCCTACTAGAGAGTCACGTCTGGTTTTTCTTCCTAGACCTGTTGCCTTCATGACCCGACCACAAATAAGTGGAAGAACATGGATGAAAATGAAAATCAAAACAAACAAAGGCCTTTTGATACCTTCCCCATCAATGTTGCAGTCTTTTAAATGAACTCTTTCTGCAACAGTTAGCACAGCTTAGCAAACAAAATTAATATTATTAATATTTTTTAACGTGTCACAAAGTTACCGTCACCTGAAAGCGGTCAATATCAAAACTCAAAGGCTATTTGAGTGTACTTTTCCCTTAAAACTTGAAATTGATTTATTATAATAAACAAACAAAAAAAAATTTATCCTAAATTTTTATTTTTACTTACATTTCCTGAAATAAGCTGTTATGACCATACTAAAAGTTGTTCAGCTGCTCTTATCTCAACAGTGGAATGAAACGATGGGAAAASATCATAACCAGCTCCCTGCCTCCACTTCGTCTTTCTCATTGTCTTTTGTTTCTTCTCTCTAGCTCACAGATTTTGGCCTCTCCAGGTTTTCCCAGAGCATCACTCGGGCATCCAATAAGGACGACAAAGACGAAGGGGGAACTCTGAGCTATATGCCACCAGAGGCTTTTCAAACATCGTACAGCCCCACTCGAGCCTCTGACATCTACAGGTAGAAAAACCTGAACCAGTCTCAACAATCCTGCAACAACGAATAACAGAATTGAATCTGCTGCTTCAGTCTTGACAGGAAGTTCATGAAACTAACTTAACAGAAAAGCTTCCTCTTAAATATGAGGAAGACATATCTCATGTGTTGATTGGGATTTAAACTGCACACATTTTTACTGCAACTTAAACAGAAMTCACTTCCTTTTCTTTGTGAGAAAGCAAAAAGAAACTTTGGGCTTATCGCAGCAATCACTAAACATTTTAGAATTGTACAACAGTAAAAGAGTGTTTCTCTTGATGTCTATTTCAGTTTTGGTATTCTGCTGTGGTCCATTGTCACCGGGAAACAACCGTATGCAAGTAAGTGGCCYATAAGTTCAAGTTTAACTTCTATTTTGAATGTTTTTGCATACTAAAGTTACATTAGATCTGAAGTGTAAGAAGTTACTGACAGATTCTTGAATCTATAGTGTTTTATGTTTTAGGGTTTTATTGTTTTATTGCTCTGCTTTTCCTTCCACAAATCAAAAACATGCATGTCAGGTTACCTTCAGGCCCAGGTCTCCCTGGAAAAAGAGATCTGTGCTTTGTGTGGTGAAATAAAGGTTAATAAATAATAAATAGAATCCTTAATTCTATACAAATCACTGGGTAGCTGGGTGTATTCCTGAGGCTGCAGGTCGCAAGCAATTTCCCGTTAACTTCTTAGCTTAGCTTCCTTCATGGTCGAGCTGGTGCACTGTATACGTCATGGCCAAACGTTAGCCATTGGGTAAAATCAATTCAGTCRTTKTAAACTTCAGCAGAATCYACGCCTCCAGCAATCAGTTCTCAGTAACTGAGAGTCCAGACCCTCTGTACAAAGCAAAGTGTAGAACAAGGGGCTGGTTTTTACTAGGCTACATCCATTGTACAACAAATCTTATGTGTGAGTTTGCTGSCTGTGGTGAACCCTGCAGGGAGCATTGGTAAAAGAAAAAAGCTCCAATTGTACAGAACCAGTCAGAGCAGCTATTAAACAAAATGTCAGTGTAAAAGAAATTTCAAAAGAAGCAATGCAAAACCAACCATATGCAGATGATATTACTGCATCTACTGAACCATATTTAATTCCATAGCTGTTCACTTTATTAACTACGTTCTACAATCTCAGTTAGCTGGTCCAAATCTCCCACTAAACTCCAATAGTTTATGTTTATGTAATGAAAAAGAAAAAAAATACATGCAAAGTGTGAAAGATTATCAAAGTTCCTTTGAGGAAAAGCTACTAAGACCTCATAGACCCGGCCTGCAGTCCAGTTCTCCTGCGTTCTCTCCCTGTAAACGTGTCAGACTTTATTCAACACCTTCCCTTCCTTATGCATTAGAAGACTCTTACATTGTTTTAAACAATGCAATTGTTCACGTAACATTTTTCTTTGGTTATTATTTGCGTCATTATTCCATTTGATCAAATTAACCTTTTAAAATTTATTATCCATTTTCATACATTATTACTGCTGTGTTCAAACTGTAAATTAGTTTAGACCAGTGGTGTCCAAAGTCGGTTCTCGAGGGCTGGTGTCCTGCATGTTTTTGRATCTGCCCTGGTTCAACACAGCTGAACATAAGGCGTGCTTAATTAGTAGGCCTCTGCAGACCTTGATTGCAAACTGAGGAGACAAACATGCAGGACACCGCCCCTTGAGGACCAACTTTGGACACCACTGGTTTAGGTGACTTTCTTATCTCAAATTGGCCACTCTCCCTTGTATCTAAATCTGTATCTGAAGAAACCATAGAAAGAAACATAGATGAAGAAACTTTGTAAGTTGTGGTCAGATGGTTCTCTGTTACGATTTAGTAAAATTTGTTTATGGGTTCAGTTTGACAGAGTAAAATTTCTGGAATGACCATTGTCGTGCTCAGTAATTAGCCTTTCTTTCAGCAGTACATGTTGATAACAAGGGATTTCTTGGTTTTTAATGTTGTTAAACACTRTAGCAACATTCCCACTGATAGGGGCTGGACAGTATGTGTGCAACTGATTTAATGGAATCCTTGTAGCCTGGTAAAAACCAGACCCTCGTACTTCACTTTGCTTCGTACGAGGGTCTGGACTCTCGGCTTTAGAGAAGTGATTCTTGCTGGAGGCGTGGCCTCTGCTGAAGTTTAAAATGATTGGATCGGTTGGTCGTGACATATATCACTGTGAAGGAGGCTAAGTTAAGAAGCTAACCGGAAATCGTGTGTGCTATAAACAATGCTACTGTTAAGAGAGAAGTATCGAGTCGAACAAGACGACTGTAAATGAGAGCTACTGCTTTGTCAGACAAATTTAATTTAATTTGGAAGCCTTATCAACACAGACTGGCTTCATTCACTTCCTCCACTGCCGTATGCTAAAATAACTAGCAGACACTGCGCAGAAAATCAACGTTGTTCAAAACTCCTCCTTCTGTTTGCTGATCGGCCCAGGTAAAATCAAGCAGACACTGCGCAGAAAATCGACGTTCTGTTCTCTGATTGGCCCAGATGAAATTCTCCTGAAGAAACCCTTGTCTGTGGGAGAAGTCCCAGATGGAGCAGTGAAGGGAAACTAGAACTGAGCAGAACTGTGTAGGAAGGCAAGGACCAGCTAGGCTAGAATCCTTGTTGAGAGAAATGAAAAAAAGTTTATTACATCAACTATCAAGTTTTCATCTGTGAGTTAGCCGTGTTGAATACTTGAGGTTGGGTYCAACTGTTTGAGTCAGAGTTCTGATTTTGAAGGGCGTTCCTCTTGGTTTTTCTACCTCTGAATTCTCACTTTTGAGCACAACTTGAATACATCATTAGAGACATTTCTGATGTTGACACACCTCTCACTGTTTTCAATCTTTTCTGTGCTGCAGATGCAATGTCCTGCATAGTGAAGTTCCGCATCCCTCAGGGAGACCGTCCATCTCTGGATGAGATCAGGCGTCAGGCTGCGGGGCGCGCAGGGTTGGCCACACTGATGGAACTTATGCAGAAATGTTGGGATTCGAAGCCCAGCGTGCGGCCCGACTCTCGTAGTAAGAAAACTCTATCTGTCCGTCCATTCTTTTTATTGGTTTGGGTTTTCTAGGTTGCAGAGGAGCTGTTGTGTATTTCCAGCAGTACCCTGGACAGGTCGCAAATCCATCACAGGGACACAAAAAAGGGACAAACAATCATTCACAATCCCACTTATTATATGRCATGACATTAGGGCCAAAATTAAGACTATTGCACACCTAGCATTAGCTACATCCTTGTAGCAGGAAGCTATATTTAATTAAAGGCTAGCTTCTGCCCTGATTACTATCTGCCATACAATTAAGAGAAAAAAATTTCATTTTAATGAGAAGAAAGCTCTGATAGAGTTGTCTAACTGCTTGGACCAGCTCAGCCAAACAGCAGCCACTCTTCCTCTCAGTCGTACAGTCAGCAGAACCACAAGAATTTCTTCCAACTCCATGTGGTTATTCCTTCAAAATAGACAATAAAGACTACATAATAAGAAGAGTTAGAAAAAATAYGCCTGAATAGTTCAGTTGTACTAGTTTTTATGAAATTTGGTATAAACTATATATAGTATTTTTCTTGTTTACATGGATCTGATCTTTTAATTTGTCCTGATGTGCAAAAATAATAATAAATATTAAATAATAAAATTCACAATATATTTATGTGTTTTATAATGTTGCCTCCACTGGCCATAAATGTTCTCGAAGAGGCCTTGAAAAGGCCCACGGACCACCAGTTGATAATTACWGTTGTAGCTTGCTTTGCGGCTCTGGACACATTTTATCAGTGTGTCAAGWAGCTTAAATGGCTCTTTTGATCGTAAAGGCTGCAGASCCCTGGTCTAGGGAAACCGGAGTATCTGGGGAAAACCCATGTACACAGAGAGAACGTGAGGAAGGCACACTAATAAGAAAACTACTTAACATAAAAAAACATGCCACTAGTATTGCAAAAAGGTTGAACACAATAAGGTATGWACAGTAGGTGTTGTGAAATAAATGCTGCATTTATAAAATACATTACTGAAATCCTATTTCAGTGGTGTAATAYATTTTCGTAAATCTTTTTTTATATTGTGTCGTGAGATCTGAGACTATAGTCAGAAAACATAAAAGCCCTATTGCCCAAGTCTAACCACACTGACGGATTCAGTCTAGCCGTGGAGGAGGGCACACTGTTCAGCAGCACGAGGCGATGCAGGTGAAGGTGTTTTCTGTGCAAAAACCTCAACCACATCCACCTTTCTTTCTTCCTGAGAACATGTGCCTCTTGCTTTGTGTCCAAAACGTATGTGAAGGGTGACAGAGCATAGCATGATATTCACATCTCCACCCAGGACCCTGATTTGACGCTACAATGCTAATTAGGGTTGCACGATATTGGAAAAAAAGACATTACAATTTTTTCTAATCCTGCAATATACAGTAAGCTGCAAAATGAAAAAAAAAAAAAACAGGAATTTTCAAAAATCAAATTAAACTAGGCATGGGTTTTTACGATGTAAAAACAAGTGTGCATTGCCATGTAGCATGGCTTTACCTGCAGCATTGGACTTGCAGAATGAACTTTGACCAAGTTCAAATGTGTTTTCTATACCAGCTTGTGCCTGCCATATCAGCAGGTGTTTGTAATTAAGGTAATTGTGTGACAATATGAAGTTTGAAGACATTTTTTGTTAAAGTTGCATTAGCTGGGTTTTGAACTCTGATCTCCCACATGAAAGTCCATGGCATAGACCATTAGACCAATAGACCTGTGGCAGAAGATGGTGGCAGGGGTTGGTTTGTATGTGTGCAGAAAGAGGCCACATTGCCAATACAATTATTGACACAAAAATGCATAATATTACAACAATCGAGCAGTGTTAAGACAATATTATAGTAAACATCAAAATACAATCATATTAGACTGTAAACACTGAACTACTGAGTTGAAATATTAAACTATGGTGCAGTACCAAGTTGAGCACAGCATGGGGCAGTACTGGACCAATACAAGGCTCCATTGACTGCCATTATAATTCATTAAACATTAATATAGTATTTCATAAACTATAAGTTTTACAGGCACCAAAAGGCATAGCCATCATTTGGCACAGGAGCTTTACAGATATAAATTACAATGGCAGCTCTAGGACAAACTATGCAGGAGGAGAAGCATGGCAAAGTTGAGATGACTTGGATGGGAAACGAATCACAATAGTGCACACTGATAACACTTTAAGTATTGCTGCCATCTTGTTGATGATGAACCTGCACCTTACACCTGCATCTTACCTCTTTTTTTGTATTAAAAGTATGTTTTTGTCTGTGTTTGAGTTATTYTTTTGTAGCTTGTTTTTATTGTGCTGGGGTCTGAGCACATTTCCTTCTATCATGCACAAACATGAATTTTTTTTCCAATAAACAAACCTAACGTGTTGCCTCCGTCAAACTTCTGTTTTTGTCACGYTTTAATATTACCATTCATGCTAAATCACATTTTACCTCTTTTTCCCCCTCGTTTTCGTCAATAACCTGGTTGTCTTCCTCCACAGCTTGAGAATTCACTGCCAGCAGTTTTCTGAAAAACACTTCCTTTATTCTTCCAGAAGTTTCATGACAAAATTAAAGTTTGTTTTTKTGTTTTTAGAGCCGCTTTTGCTGTTAAAATAAAAGCTGTTTAGTGACTTATGGTACATGTTGATTTATTCTGCCTCCCAGATAGCAAAATGTGAGTGAATCAACAATGAAATATAGTTTGGCATGACACTGAATCCATGTTGAAATTATACAAAAAGTGGTCGGTGACTTACTTCTTAAAACAACATTAGGTCTTCAAACATAACTGATTCTATATAAATATTGATTCAGCATTGATTAGATCTTGGCATTTCAATCATTAAAATTGGACCATGGAACAAAGTTGATCCAATAACATCTTTTCAACATTGGTTATTTGTCTGGAATTGGATGRTTGTTTGATGGTTGATTCACTATCAATCATCGACCTTAACCAAAAATCATAACTGGCCATAAGGCAACACTGAATTAACATCTGTTATTATGGTGTCTGGGCTCCTACATCGCAGGACCTGCAATGTGACATGTACACATTGTGCACACGTACATCACAATAATGATGCTCAAACAATTTATCATGCAGCCCTAATGATAATCATCCACAACAGCCCCACTTTGAGAACTTTGCATGAATTGCAAATCATCATAAACCTTTAACTAATGAGGAGTCAACTGCATTCTTAAAGGGGGTGTTATGCAAAAATCAATTTGAGGTTTATATCATGTTATAATGTCATTTTGTCATCAAAAACATACCCAGAGTGTTGCTTTGACTCATTCATGCATGTTTGAGAAATCCTTGAATCTCCATGTGGAGCTGCCTAAACACTTGCTGGTACAAAGCCCCACCCATTTACCCAAAGCTCCTCCCTGGAGCTCAGTCTTTAGCCCAGCTCCTGCCCCACAGAGCACCCCAACCCCGTGCCTACCCCACACAGCTCTTCTGTAGCAACAATCAGCAAACACCYGACAGATCTGCACATCTGTAGCACTAATAATGCTAACGTCTTCTCAGTCCAGTCCTTTAGGGGTTAAAAATGCCTCCATCAAGAAAAAAATATTTTTGGATGTCAAGGAGACTTCCATCTTTATGCGATTCCTAAGGACGACACAGTTCGTCAAGAAATGGCCAAACCTTTTTCCAACGAAAGGTTGTAAACTGCACGAAGCATTGTTGCTGAAGTGGGGGTGTCCGAAATGGTAGGATGTTCTTAAAGACACAGAGGCCAATTTCAAAGTGTTTAAATAAAATGCAAAGTAAAAATTATTTTTGATAAATACAGCTTTTTCATAATAACCAAAGATAACAATTACTTGATTGTGGTGTAGAATTGTGCTTGGAAAATAAATAACAAGGCCCCTTTTAATATGTGCTCAAGACTATCAAGGCCATCCCTGTTTTTGGCTCATTTTTATGACATAGTGGGATCTTTTAAAAGCAGGTTTTAGTTCAGCGTCAATGAAACAAATGAAATGTAATCCTTATATTGGAGAAGACTGAAGTCTCTGAAAGGACACTTTGAAGTTCTGAATTATTATGTTCAGCCGGTTCTCTACTCCTTACAAAGTCCACAATCCTACAGTTAGTACTCTAATWTTTGTATTTACYTATTTTGTTTTGCAGTTTGCACAACTGTAACAGAAGAACTGTACAAGATGCACAAGCATTCCGTTATTGATGCWGTCCACCACGTGCTGAAGAAACTGGTGAGGAAGAATTCTCTTTTTCTTTGAGTCAAGTTGACATGTTGTAAAATTTTAACGTGACGCATGGTCATCACTTGGATTTTTTAAATTAATTTTTTTTTTTGCCACAGTCTACATGTTTCTCCTCCTCTTTCCAGAACCAAAACGAAGAAGAAAGAATAACAGAGCAGATCGGAGCGCTTTCTATTACTCAGCCTGAAGGTCTGTTTTATTACACGCTGCTCTAATAGTCTCAATAACAAAATTTGCTGAATCATCAGCAAATTTTAAGGTTTCTCATCGTCTCACTTCTTTTTTTCTTTTCTTTTCTTTCTTTTTTTAAACAGCTAATTATATATCTGAAGCACCAAACTTTTGTGATGATGTTCTAACAGGACCCCCGCCGGTTCAGGTGAGGTTTGGATMATTTCGTCAGGCTGTCATCGCCACATTAACACCAGTTGAGCCAACACTTTTGAACAACACCATTTGCTTTGCTTTTCTCAACCAAACAACATGCGTGATTGTCTGAATGCTGCATGGCCATGTTTACACCGATGGTGCCGAGTCTGCTAATGTACGAGTCATCTTAGTCAGTCCAAAAGTTCCCACATAGAAACATTTGTCTGGTCCAAATCTGCTTGACATCAGGTCTGGCCCACACCTGTTGGCCATGGGTGTTCTGTAGCAAGGTACAAAAACTTTGTTACATTACTTAAGTAGACAGTTATCTATAGTAATCATTTTTTAGCTGACTTTCTTTTTAAAAATAGATTTGTTAATTCCAGCT